CTCTCTCTCTCTCTCTCTCTCTCTCTCTCTCTCTCTCTCTCTCTCTCTCTCTTTCGCGCTATCTTTTTCTCGCTGTTTCTCGTTTGCTGCCCCTCGTTTCTCACTTCATATATCGTTCTCCCCGCCTTCTTTCTTTCTACCGCCTCACTTTCTCTCCCTTTCTCGACCTTTCTTACACACATGCACGCCCGTACGAACGTACGCACGCACGAACGAACGCACGCACGAACGAAAGCACGCACGCTACCCGTCTGTCTGCTTGCATGTCTGTGTCCACTTTTCTCTATCTATCTTACGATCTCTTTCCCATCTTCCTTAATTGTGTCCTTACCTCCCGAATCATTGCAACTATAGTCATACATAATTCTTGGAGATACTAAGAATTCATTCCTACAAACGTATAATTCATACAGACGCCATTGTCATTCCTAGCGCCGTCTGTGTCATTCCTACCAATGTGTGTCATTCCTAGCGCCGTCTGTGTCATTCCTACCAATGTGTGTCATTCCTAGCGCCGTCTGTGTCATTCCTACCAATGTGTGTCACTCCTAGTGACGTCTGTGTCATTCCTACCAATGTGTGTCACTCCTAGTGACGTCTGTGACATTCCTACATACGTATGACATTCCTACAAACGTATGACATTCCTACACACGTATGACATTCCTACAGTCGTCTGTGACAATCCTACAGATCTATGTGTTATTCCTTCCGACGTTTCAGTCCTTCCTACAAGCGTTTGTGTCATTCCAAGTGACGTCTGTGCCATTCCTACAGTCGCCCGTGTCACATGTGAGTCATTCCCACAGATGTGTCATTCCTACAGTCGTCTGTGTCCATCCTGCAGATATGATATTCCTTCAGACGTTTCAGTCATTCCTACATGCGTCTGCGTTATTCCTACAGATAAGTGTCCGTTTTTCCTACAGACGTTCGTGACATTCCTACAAACACGTGTCACACATGCCATATTCACATGATACCCCTAGCAGAAATTCTGAACTATAAGAATTCTTCGTAGAAAATAGAACGCACGGCCATGGCTATTGCGCTTCTCCTAGCTCACTTGCCTAAACTGCAAATTCTTAGTTTGCAATTCTGTCCGCTATTAATCATTTATTATAATCACCAAGGGCAGTATTGGTACAGCCACGCAGTTCATTAGAACAGTTCAAAACCGTTTAAACCTCAAGAGGATGCTATTTAGAGATCTCCTCACAGTGAACAGCAGAATACACACGTTATAGGAAGACCTTGGTACCGATTTCAAAGAAGTGGTGGATAAACGCAACGTTGATTTCTTTTCAAAATATCGACCATTTTTCGCGCTTACAGGCAGTGCCCCTTAATTTTACCTCTAAACATGGGCTACTAAACGTATTTTTTATTTGGTTAAATGGATAATTTCCATTACAGTAGTGCATTATTTTAAATTATATAAAATGTAGATTAATAGATCCAACGGCAAAACACAGCATCTAACCATCACAAACGAACAAGTGTTTAGGAATGAATGTATGTTGGTGCTGGGGGGTGGGGGGTTGATAGCTTAATATTATTTACATAACACATAATAACAATAAGATTTGTTGCACCGTTAGTCATCCTCACAAAGCTTCTGATTCTATAAAAGCTTCCTTTGATCATAATTACGGCGAGGAAAGAACTACCGTGAAAAACTACCGAGCCTATAGTGCTTCTGGCCTATAGTGTCTCTATTAAAACTACGACTATAAACACACTATCCTGCCAATTACAAAAATTTTCTAGCCAATAGTAGAAGGCAATCAGGGGGCAACAGCTCTCGCAGTCACCGGCGTGCGTAAAGTATGGGAGTGCAACGATGCATCGAACTACTTGATCATTCAATTATTGCAATAGTGTTTGGTTCAGTAGCATTATGCATCAGCGGCTAAGTCAAACATCAATAACCATCGGTGATAGTTCACGGAACAATCGATAGATTTCAATAGTTGCAACATTAAAACACAAGGTTAGGTTTAATTACTGCTAAAGATGCCGACACTGCTGTCAATGTTGTAAATAATTAGACTGGTCCCTGGCTATCTGCGTATGGTTCCCTAATGGCTCCCTATGTACGAGTGCGTAAGTGGAACGACATAATTATGGTACCAGTATAGTAAATAATGAGAACCAAAACGAGGCCTGATGCAATCCACAACACAATACACAATTCCATAATACATCAATAATATCGCAATAGCAAAATTGCACCCAATAGTCACCCCATAACAAATTACCTTGAATTTCTGTTGGAAAGCGCCCTTTTTGTTCTGAGATCCTTTAGATGCGTCCTGCAATACCGACTTGTCGATTCGGCCCTGACTGAGTTTTCTCACGGGATTTGTGAGCCATTTCCTAAAAAAATGCATGAGTTTCATTAATCGTTACACCAAAGTGCAATCGTTTTAATGCCGTACGTAAAGCGACGCACTCTCTGCAGTATCGGCGATGATCGCAATGCTCCCCAGAGTGGCAACATGTTTCGCTTTTAAAAATACATTTAGCAAGATGAGAGTACTGACACTAAGTGCTAATATCCAACGCGTGCGATTGTTCCATTTTATATGATAAATGACGTTTGACTATTGCTAGTTAAATTAGCTTACAAGTCAACACTTGCTTTATTTAATCGATGCAACACGCATTTACGTAGATATATATAGACAAGAGTGGATAATAGAGAAGAGTATGTCAGGGTTTTAACAGCGTTTTGCATAGTTTTGAACTGGTAACTAATCTATCAATATGTGAATAAATATATTCAAACTTTACCTTGTTTTCGTCTATGATTCTCCCTTATTCATATGACACCACCAATTTACCTGAAAATCGAATGTGTTCTTCAAAAAAGTTA